TCCCGTCCCTCCGGGGCAGAGGAGAGCACGGCTGTGCTCCGCGCATGCGTGCGGCAGCTGGCGGTGCCATGGGTCCCCCTGGGGACACCGGGCCCACAGCTGAGGACCAGGCACAACTGGGGACAGCTTGGAACAGCAGCAAGCCCAAGGCAGAGGGGGTCAATGAGCTCAAGCTGCCCCAGAAACTCAAGAGAGAAAAGGCAGCGCCCCTGTGACCCTCTCCACAGGCTGTGGTGCAGCCTCAGGGACCCTGACGCCTTTCCTCCACCCGCATACAACCCCAAGACAATGGAGAAAGCCCTGCCTCACCCTAGGGCCCCCTGCACTGCCTCGGGCTAGGGCCTCTAGGTACTTACAGGTATTCGCGGGAGGTGGAGGAGTCTCCCGGGAGCACCCAGGGTCTCTGGGCTTTGGACCCTAGCTGTTGCCAATGTCTCCAGCAACTGAGAAAAAATATGGTGCAGACATGAAACTCAGATGGAAACAAAAGCGCATGCATGGACACTTGCATGCACACACACGCACAAGGATAGACAGGGGCACAGAAACACTTGCAGAAGCACACATGCACTTTGTGCAGCAAAAGCACACTTGTGCAGACACACAAGCGTTTGCACAGACAGATGCTTCCATGAACAAAGATTTTGCATCACAGAGATGGACATGGAAGATGACAAATCCTGGCTGCTTCCAGCCTCTGCCCTTCTGTATTGCCCAGGTCTCCAGTCCCTGGGCCTGTGGAAAGTTTCCAGGGTGCAAGGCAGAGCTCTCTTCAGGAAAGGCAGCCTGGGACTGAGGGAGGGCAACATTCTCCCCACTTGGTGCATTCAAACTTTCTTCTGCTTTTCACAGACACTACTGGTCAGTGTCACTCCTTCTTCCTCCTTTGTACTGAACCTCTACTGAGCTGCAGGGCCACTCCAGCATCACAGTCTGTCACTTGAACCCAATTTGTACTTGGAACTGCAGCTACTCCACAGCATGCTATTTGTTACAAAGATAGAAAGAGATGAATGGAAAAGAGCCTTCAGGTCATCACTTTATTAGGCTATGAAAGCCCATGCTCATAACTCTAGACACAGCGAGTGCATATTCAATACTGTGTTTCACTGTCTGATGTTTTGCTAAGCTACAAAAACTAATTGAGAAAGGATGAAGCTTTTTTTTTTTTTTTTTTTTTTTTACCATGAATGTGAAATCAAATTCTTCAGAAATTAGAAACATTTTCACATACATCTGGGCTTTTGCTTTTCAGATGAATGTCTGAAAAACAGCTGTATTTTAATAAATTCCAGGAATAACACATGTAAGCATTGGTGCTGAATACCTGATGCTTAGGGTTACCAGAACGTACACAGAAGTGTGCAACTTCTTCAGTGTCCAATTTCCTTTCAAGTCCTACAGATGACACGCCATCTCATGTAATGCTTGCAAAATTAACTCTTAACTGAAACAAACTCTAGATTTTTAAGATACATCCTTTCTTCCTCACAAGTTTGTTTATACATAACTGGTGTAATAATAAGACAAACTCAAGGTAATTCAACATCCCACATTCTTTGCAGTTACATATTGTTACTGCAACCATTAAAAAGCCACCATAACTATTTATAGCAAACAGAATCCTAATACATACACGGCAGTTAATTATACCACTGTTCATAAAAGGCTTCTTAAAGACAGTCAGAAACAAGTTTAAATATCTGTATACGAATGCACAAACATTAGTAAAAAGGTACCACATACTACAGCTTTCTAAGTTTTCAAATGTATGTTCTGGTAAACATACATGTGTGTGGCGGGGGGGAGGACAATACCAGTACAGGTGCATACTTCATTATCAACTTTATTTGTAAAGAAGTGACAACACTAGAAAACACATTGATAACCAGTGCTTTGAACAGTGAAGGTGGGATCTAAAAAAGACTGATTAAACTAAACAACTTTTAAGTCTTTATCAAGTTGCATATCTGCCAGGAATGCTGAAATGCAAGTTTACATCTGCAATATCCCATAATGGAATAGCCACATAATATCAAATATAATCTCCAGTTTCCAAACCAGCACATTAAAAAAAAACCATCATTAAGTATTAGAAGACCACTGCAAGTTCTTATTGCTTTTTGAGTTAAACATTCTTCAAATAAACTGAAAATCAAACAATCTCTACAGCATCTTGCTCATCCTCCTGCTCATTTGATGTTAACACTGGAAGCAATCAGTTGTTATATGAGACAGCAACAGAGGCTTTAAAAAAAAAAAAAAATCCTATTGAAGTACATGGATATCCCCACCCCCCCCACCCCTAAACCCCACAATTACCACTTAGTGCCAGTAGGAGTAAAACTCGATAGACAAAACCAGAAACCTGACTACAGTAAGAAGGGAAAATAAAGGGAGATACAGCTTCCTTAAATATTCAAAATTTGAAGTCTTTCAAAACAAAGCATATCATCCCATCATTTAAAAAGGGAAGTTGCTTTACATAGCTAATTCTTGCACATGCCGAGTAGTTCTCAAGTCCACTGAGTTCCACTGTGCAGCAGTTGATTTTGAATTCAACAACGCTTCAAAAACTACAGTAATATTTAATGCGCTTTTTACTAAAGAAAGCAAGAAATAAATGCACGTTGACGTTCTTTGCCAGCTCAGCATCTCTGCAGCACTTCCACTGCCTTGCGCAGTACTAAGCAGTGTCAAGAGTTCTGCCAGTATCACTGTCTTCAGAATCATCCTCAGAAGCTGTTGGAACAACATAGTATAATCAGAAGCCCTCATAAAGCTCTGTGAAATGCAGAATTAGAGCACTTTTAGCTTAGGATGAGCAGTGGAAATAAAGGTAACTTTATAATACCAGACTATAAAATCAAAACGTCCCACAAATCAAAACTTTGTTTATATTAATTATATAGCTTAATTCTTAAATGTCTTTCATGTCTAAAAACGTATCATTTTTAAGCTCAAGTCCATTATTACCAACTGCAGAGCCCTCCTGCTCCCCCTCAACATAAAATAAAAGGAAGAATACAAAAGGAAGATTATGCCAGAGACTCAACTTTTATATAATGTTTACAGTGACTAATTCCAACAGTAGTAACAGGAGAGTATGTACAATCCATGACAGCTGCACTCAACCCAAGGGAAATAAATGACTCACATAGTTAACTATTTGCACACTAAAATATCTAGAAATGTGCAGTACTCTAAAACAGAACAACTATTAAAAATATATATTGTTTAATGCAATTAAATCAGTCTTACTTTGAAGCAGAAGCTTCTCTCCCCACCCCCCCTTCCTTCAATTTATGTGAAATGAACATGAATCCTAAGTATGCACAGGATTTCCTTGCGAGATGAATTAAAGAACAAATACATACTTGTCAACTGTGATAAAAAGCCAGATAACTGTGATAAAAAGCCAGATCAAACATCTACAGTACGTTTGTAATGTGTTATCTTGTGCCTAACAGGAGTTTTATCTGTCCTCTTGAGCAAACTCTCTTGCCAAGAAAGTATTTGCACACCCAAGAATCCATCTCAAAGTCAATCTCTGAACATAAAGAAGGAAGCATGGTCTGTCTTGTCGCTTCTGCGGTCCCCTAAAAATGCTTCTTAAAAAGGAAGTGCAACAAAATAGTGTCAAGATTAAAGTTTACTTCAGTAATCCTCACCTGCAAGTTTGGTAAAGCCTAGATAAAACATAGGCCAAGCCTAGATAAAACATAGGCCAAACTACTGTGTGAAACACTCCTCATTAAAATTAATTTCTATTGTAACAAGGAAACACATAACTACGGAATAAATTCTCACCTCCACAATCCACATTTATTTAAAAAAAATATTATTTAATGCTCTGAATATAGAAATAATCATCTGCTAAACTAAAGGAAAACTTATTTCCTTTTATAGCATTCCCTATTGTACTCTGAATACCAAAATCTTATGAACTGAAAGATAAATCCATATAAAAACTTTGCGTGTTGAGGGGGACAGGCAGACAGACACAAACGCCCTAGAAAAAGAAGTAGCCCCAGGTACCTTTCCATTGTCTATTCATAATGCTCAAGAATAATACTTAAATGCAGGTTAAGTTGACCAAAAGTCAGCATATACTTGTGAATTTAACCACAACACAGGACCCATGTGGTGAAAAGTAGGCTAGTGCTTTGGCAAAGCAGGCAACTGTTTTTGAACCCAAAAGTGGATAATTCTGAGACTATCATAATTAAGTGCAGTCCAATTCGATCCAAAATGTTGCTTTCCTACTAGGACTCATGTGAAATGCTACAGCCTGAAGGTCACCACCAGTTCCATAACTATGTTCTACTAGAATTAAAATAACCACACTGTAACTAGTGAGGAATCTTGGTATCACTTGCAGAAGACACTTCCTCAGTTCCCTCTGCTGTTGGGAAATCAATCACGGAAAATTCAGTCAGTTCTCCCCCAAAACAATTCTACCGAAACTGGAAAAAACACTGCTAGGTAAAGTCAATTTTTCAGTGACTAAATTTGGTAGTATGAATCTTGACAAAGAGGACTGTATGCATGTAACTCTGAGTGAATCTAATGGGGGGAGGAGGGGTGGGAACACCTACTTTCAATATCTTCCATATGTGCCTGAAGAGTTCTTGCAAGGTTAATAAACTAGAAACAAGGCAGAGAGAAAGTAGTTTAAAAGTTGCAAAGTTATCTGCAGAAATCTGCAACAAGTTAGCAGAGATTTCTTTTCGCAATAGTACCCTCAATCCCAAAGCCTCATCCCAGTTGTCAGTTATCCTAACCCCTTTGCCCAACTTACAAAATCAATACAAAATTTAATAAAAAGCCCCACATTAGACTTCAAATTGCTATTGCACAGTCATTTCAGCTTCCACTCTATGTCAAAGGTTTCTTCTTCTTCACGTTCTACAGTCTGTAAAGTAGATCTGTTTTGAGAGTCAGACACATCTCAAAAATTGCCAGTTTTACAAAAAAATCAACTATTTCTAGAAATTCTAACGCAGAGAAACGTAATCCGTGCCAGTTAAGGCACAAGAATCCAGTCAAAATACATCTAAGTAAGAGTTTTGACTAACGCTAGAAAATTACACTATAGGCAGACAACTTCAGAACGTAATACTGAGGTATGTATTTAGGGCCCCATCCAAACGGTTGCAAGGCCCACACCTTTGCAATAGTAGAATGGCAAAATGAGAAAGATTCGTCAAATATTCTCAGTTCCAGTAGTCTCAGCTGCATGTTTTATACAGAGGAATGTTACCCTTCAAGTTCCATATAAATTCAGGGCAATCACAATAACATATCTGCAGAGGTAATCAGTTACCAATAACACTGACAAAAGTGATTTTGAACCATGTTAACTGCAATCAAGTAGTATGTTTAGTTTCAAAACAAACATGGTGTTACTCTATTAGACAAATTCAGATATGAGCAATCCCTTCCATAAAACAAACACATACTTACTCTGACACGCGTGCTGGCCTCATTTGAAGTTCCCAGCATATCAGAAAAGCGCTGTTCACATAAGTGTAACAACACTACAAGGTAGAGACCAGAGCTGATAAATTCATAGTCTGCCTTAAAGGAGATCAAAATAAATTTTCAAAATGTTAGTAATGCATCTACATACGCAATTCAAGCAGCAGAACGAGAATTCATTTTTCCTGGAAGTGTTATATAACTACTCCTCAGGTGCTCCAAGAACATTACAGAGTAATTATTAAAAAGCTATTATACTTGTGGTTCTTCCCACTCACCCTAGATCTAATATGTTATCTTTGAAGTTAAACAGAATGACTTCTACAAATGAATTCTAAGGCAGTATAACTAGTCCACAGGCATGAGTCTAAGGATCAGAGTATACCATCAGGTGTAAGAATTACTTAAAAAAACACAAGAAAACTACAGCTCTGCTGGAAGCCACTGAAAAGAAGCCAATCCTCTACAGAAAGACAAAATAAGGGGAAAATATTAAAGGAACTTTATGGTGGTATAAATATTCTGAGAAATGATCGTCTCCGCTAAGCTAAGGACTTTCAAAATACTAACTGCTGATTTTAGAGAGTCAATTCTTTAGGAACAAGTTTTAAAAGCTCTTCCACTTCTATCGAAGTACATCGACGCAGTCACCAACACTCAGTAGTGTTAAAAGATTTGATGGTACTATCAAGAAAAACCGTTCATAATCTGGCCCAAGCAACTGGAACTCAAAAATGGAGACACAGTTAAAATAGCTTACTCTAAATAATAAGAAAATTAAGACGCTGATGTTTGGCTGAGTTCACACTTGAGAAAACTGGCGCCACTTGGCAATATTTTAACTTCTCAGGTGGCTGAATTTCATTAGCCTTTCTACATTCACAGAATACAACCCAGAGGCATAAGAAAGCCCTCTGAATAGAGTTCACTAAAATAATCCCAGCCTTTGTTAATTATTCATTTTAAATACTACCAAATCCAGTCCTTCTAAGATGTTGCATTTTATCTCAAGACAGTAATATCTATGGGCCTTAAATTTGTTTTTAATTTAGGAAAGGACTTAAGGAAACAGCAGGTAGTTCTGTTAAAACAGGAGGTTAGTCTCTACTACTCTAAGGAAAAGGATAAAGTTTTTAATGGTAGGTTTAAATCAAGTGTTTAACTGCACCTAAAAACAGCTATAGGGAAAGCCAAATCATCATTACATGAATTTGAAATTCAATCTAATCATACTAGTATTTCCATTGCACCTGTGTGGCAAAGACACTGGGCTGGAAAGCTACATGACCCATCTGCAAATAAGAAAAGATACGAGATATTACACTTACTGAAAGCTCAGAACTTGGAAGCACAGCAAGAAGATAGAATTTGTCTGAATACTGAGGAGGAAAAATCTGTTCCAGATTTACATTACTTTATGTGCATAACTGGTTTTCCTTCTCAAAAGGACTTTTTCCTCCTATAAGAAAAAAACAAAGCTACCCTCCCAGCGCTAAACCAACACTTACCAAATTAGGCAAAATATACTAACTTGTTCATTTGCATGTGCCCTATAGAGTTCATGAATATCAAAGTCTTCAAGATTAAGATGCAACTTCTCTTTACACAATTCACAAGTGGTTACCGCTTCCAAAGAAGAACCTGGTGGGGAGGGGAAAAAGGTGACGAGTCAGTGGTAAGTTACAACAATTCAAAACATAGGTTCAAAGCATACAAACGTTATAAACTATAACTGATTCTTGACTTTATTTTGCAGAGCAAGGTTAGAAGAAAAAGACAGCCTCTGATAGTACTGTAGTGAGTATCTCCTACAGTCAGGATTTTAAGGGTATAGAGTGTTTATTTCCCATCAAACTATTTATTTCTTCTCATAGTCAATCTGGACACTATATGCCTCTTACTGAAAGTCTGACATAAAGCAAAACAAAAAAAATCACTGCTTAAGCAGTTTTAAGTTCTACAGTGTAATCCAAATGTACATAAAATTGTACATAAAATTATGTAATAATTACATAATAATAAACATTGTCTTGAAATATCAGGTTTAAAACAAGTTGCTCCGCAAACAACAAAATTAACAAAGCAGGTTGATGGTGGATTTGCGTCTTATACTTGTCGATTCACATCTAAGAAGTTCTCTACTTGAAGTGAAAGTCTCCTATCGGCTGAGGCTTTGAATACATCCCCATTTGGATGTGGGTTTTTTTGACACTGAGTAAACAAGTAAACAGATGCATCTTCCTTCAGTAAAAGGTATTTAACAATCTCCATGCCCTCTACCAAGATGCCAATTTTCAGTCTCAGAAATGCTACAGATAACTATAAAGCGTTCAATAAATTTAAAGGTTATTACAAAACAGTTCTACAGTGCGCAGTATCTGAAGCGTTTCTTACCAAAGAAATTCTATACGCACTTCGATGAAACCTTTTAAATAAGTACTCTTAACTGCTCTGAATAGGAGTTAAATAAGACTCTGTTTTTAAGGTCAGTTAAGCACAGTTACACTAAACATTTCGGGGGGGGATTTTAAGATTCTTATCACTGCTACAATCAGCCTGTCTCTAAGTCTTAGTAATAGCTAGAACTGCATGCACTGGGGGAGCAAAGCCCCTTAAAGCATTAGAGTAGCTCTAGAGATGCCCTCCCCAAATCAACCTCTTCATTTTTCAAAGAAACGCTGTGACGTTAGTAATAGTCATCCTACTGATAAAGCTCCCAGCGTAACTGGAAGTCCACCTTAGTCTAGACTCTGCTTTACCTGAATTAATCTTGGACTGCAGCCATTTTTTCATGCACTCCTGGTGAACATATTGCAGACTTCCAGTGCATTTGCATGGCTCTATTAAAAGGTTGTTAGAGCTTGCAGAAGACATCTGACAGATTCTGCACAAGTCACCCTCTTCATCTTCAGAATCTTCTAAGAGCAGACTGAATAGGAAGAAAGATCAACAAACGCTATGACACCTTTAATGTAAGGGTTTTCATAATGACAATTCCCATCAAACTGTTCTCAAATCTCTAAGGAGTAAAACAACTTTCTCTAAAGACAAAAGTGACACCATAGGTGACGAAGGACTGAGATGCATCCTTCTCTGAAGGAAAGGTTCCTTTTTAACGTTAAGGTTACAGAAAACCCTCACACGTTAATGCAGGTACATGTTATTATCTGGAAAGAGCATACTGATTTACCTCTCTTTGATTTTCTGGAGTCTTTCTGGATCTCTTGAAGGTGGTATTTTAGACTTGTCACTTTCCGGTCCATCAGATTGATTCCAGCCAGAGGGAATAATATCTACAGTTATCATAAGATTGTCAGAGAGACTGCTTCCTAATGTTGGAGGCACTGCAAAGCGAAAGAGAGAACCAGGCAGAATTCCAGAACTTCTCCTACTGTGGGTTGAATCTGGTGGGGAGGCAGTAGCTGTAGGGATACCAGATACTGCAGGTGTTGGAGGTCTGTTAACAGAAGCCCTAGGAGGGCTATCTGATGCTTCAAGAGAGGTCTCCTCACCTGACTCTCTCCTTCTGAAGACATGTTGTGATCTAGCAGGTGTATCAGAGGTAGAGATCCTTGCAGATTCATCTCTTCCTTCTCTCCTCCTCCTAGAGAAGAGAGGTGTACACCTGTTCCTCAAAGATGACGATAACCAGGATCCTGCGCTCCTACTTTCAGAGTCTGGTCTGTAACTTTCCCCGTCAGAGTTATGGTTCTGTGAAACTCCTGATAAACCCCATCTTCGTCTAAGAAAACTAAATCCCTGAGAAGCTTCAGATGTCTGAAGCCCTGGAACTTCAGGAGCTGCAGCTGCATTAGCGCTAGACAGAGTAGAAGCTTGAACTCTTGGAACAACGCAGGACTCCTCAGAGCCTGATGATCTTGTATGCAATGAGTCTTGGCTAGACCTTCGTGAGAAAAACGTAGATGACATGCTAGACGCTAAACGAGACAGCAGCTGTCTGGTTGTGCGTCTTCCTTCACTATCAGGGGCAGGCTCATTCAGTGACCTCTGCGCAGATAAAATCCTTTCAGAACCACCTGAGGAAGGAGTTTCATCTCTAATGGCAGTATGAGCAAATTCTGACTGCATGCTCCTCTGGGGAGACTGCATTCCATTTCTCCTTTGTCTTGAAGAATAGCTGGATCTTGAAGAGCTCATATGAGAGTCTCTGTTGAAAAAAGATGGCTGATGATCAGAAGGCAACTGGCGGTTCATGGACGCATTCAGCCTCAAAGTGCTTAACGAATTCTCTTTTGGTCTTGCTCCCTGTGCATATGAAGAGGCAGGCCTGTCATGAAAATCTGTTGTGAAAGAGCAGAGGAAAATCAGTACAACGAGATGTACTCTAAATTAGTACATTCCAGAAGGATATCTCTTAATTTAAATTTACTTAGCAGAATTCTAACGCTAAATTGAAACTAGTATATTAAACCTATTTGGAGTATAACACCCCAAAAATCTTCTAAAAACTAACCATCTGTCAGAAGTTATAGAAGAAGAGTATTTAAATTAAAAACAACCAGCAAACTATGTAATATCACTACAAATTAAAGGTCCTTTCTGCCTGTAGACCGAGAAAGGGAAGTTAATCAAAATTTCAGCAACACAGTAGTCACCAGAGCACCTGAAACAGGTTTGTGGATAAAGCAAAACGTATTTCCCCTCTGTTGTAACACAAGCGACCCTTGTGTTACAGAGACTCGGCGTCTTTTACTAAAAGACAGCATTATATTATTCAGTGTGGAAAACATAACTTGGATAGTATTTTAATTCGATATGTATTGTCTTATAATTAGAACGTTTATTTTAAACCAAGAACTGAAAAAATAAAGGGAATACTCTAAAAAAAATATTGTAGCTCCACCGGTCACTCCAAAAACAGGGTTATCTAGCTATTGGTTTTTATCAAAGAAATAGGACAACTAAGTTTGAATGTTCAGCTATGCAACTGGCTGAAGCAGGATCAGATAACCATTGACTGATAATCATTCTGCATTAGTAATCTTGCCTGCTCTTCAACTATCAATTACTTTAATTACATACGGCCAATTAGTTAACTATTCCCACGCTGTTGTCTCCTTCTCCACTTTTAAAATGTAGGTTCATCCACCTAATGCTTTTCAGGTTCATACACCTAAAGCGTATTTTCTGTAAATGCTGCATATGTACCTCAGATACACTGAGAAGAATTCTAACTACAGTCCAGCTACAGTAACATTATGTGAAGCAGCTGAGAAGGCTAGTATCAGCGAGTCTCCTTCCTCAAAAAATGGTTGGGGTGCGGGAGAAAGCAGCCACACGCAACGGCAGCAGCAGACTAACCTCATAAGAAGGAAAACCATTTAATTCCTTTCAATACTTTAACCACTTCACAAGTGCAAATGATTAAGGTCGGAGGGGGCAGAAGCTTTCTCCATTTACTCTGGTATCGAAACCTTTACGGCAATTTTTACAGTTTCTGCATTTCAATCACTTTGTTTTAATCTCAGAGCTGTGGTTTGTGCATCTGGCAGATGCTAAAGAAGGAAACATGTCTGCACAAATGCTATGAGCCTGCTATATGGTTTTGATTACACAGCAGGCAACACAGTTGGAGTTATTTTTATAGCACTTAATGGTGGCACTACTGCTAAAAAGGCAGTACAGACGGTACAAAACAAGTCTGCCCACCCATCCGTTCTCCCCCCAATACACACGAGGCTCTGCCAAACTCAATCTTCCACTTATGTAAAGAGGCATAGAGTATGATGATGACGACATTAAAAAAAAAAAAGAACTCTTCTGGCAAGACTGCAGGAAGAAGTCTGGAACCAGTTTTTAATCTTTTCTCCTTACATCTTTCTTTACCTGCAACAACAGTGATTTTAATATTTCAGCATTATAAAACAGCACTAATGCATCTGCAAAATGGAGCCTCCATGGAACGGTTATAGAAGGCCACAACAGTCTGAATAGAGAGAAGGTGAAAATAACCGTGAAAGAGTCCATACTAGGCTTAACTAATCACCATTAAACAAATCTCTCACCACAGTGGGGTAGGGAACTGTAAAGTATGCATTCATTAACTTGTACTTTCAATGGGCCAGCAGTTTTCCCAAATATCACAAAAGAAACCAAATACGAAGACACAATACCATATGAGTACCTCGCAAAAATTCTTCCATGAGTCAAATACCACTATTCGTATTTATCTTCCCATACCTCCCGCTAAAGGTCCAAATAAAGAGAAATCTTAAGATGAAAGAGAAAGGAGGAGGTTTACTCAACATTCACAGTTACAGTGGCAAATATTGATACCAGTCTCTTATAAACTGAACGCATCTACAACCTAAATACAAAAAACATATACAAAACTAGGATTCAGGCAATTACTATTCAGCTTCAGCATTAAAATATAATCTAACATTTTATCTAACACAAGGAAGGTGGCCAACCAACTTTATGAAAAAGGATGCCTCAAAATTAAGTAGATCTTTTAGTTTGTGTTTTGCAGAAAATATTAAAAGAATAACTGAAGAAACTAACAGGCATGCAACCTAAGGGTTTACAAGGTTCCAGCTGCGTAATACATACATGTTGAAGATGAAAAGTCATTGTTTCTGTGGCTGTGATCCACCAGATTATTAGCAGACGGATCCGTTCTTCTTTCTAACTCTCTCCGTTCTCTCACCAGCTCAGTTCCCAGAGAGCCAAGCACCACTGACGAAGACCTGGGAATCCGACTATACCTCCAAGAGGAATCTGGAAAGAAACAAGATAATAAATCCTAGGTATTTGAAATTATTTAAAAATCCATTAAAATTAGTACTTATGCACGCATTCTGGTCACACTGTATTAAGCGCTAGTTTGACAATACAGCTAAGCTGATCAAGAGGCTAGCTGCCAACAGAAGGCTAAGAGTAAGCAGCACTCTGCTGATGCTGGCATTCATTTGATCTTGCAGCGAGTTGGTTCTGGAAGCTAAACCAGGAAAAAAAGTAATCATACTTTTGTGAAGAGCCAGACTCATATTAACACTCAAACAGGATGGGGGGGAGGGGAGAGAAATAGGATCCGGCCTTTGAGTGGTAACTAGTTATTAGGTAGGCTTAGCTGCATGTTAAAACAGCAGCTTGAGACTTAGTAAATGCTGCCATTCTAATGACAACTTCTTAAAAGCTCCTGAGATTCATTTTCCAGAAAGGCATCTGAAGCTTAACAGCAGCTTAGGCACAGCTCTTAAGAACAGCGACAAATATTGTCTTGCTCATATTATGAGGAGTCAAACAAGCTCCAGCATCTCAATAGGGAACTGTAAATACTTCCGCTGTGAACAAAGCTCTAGTTCTAAAAAGTGCTCTTCAATGGCTCTGAAAAATCCACCTGGATTTTATTAAGCTGTTAATTTTTAAACCAAATTGAAGCAGGCATATAATATCAGCAATGTGGCAAACAACCAATCCACAATGGGATGTCTTGCACCTAAAATGACCAACACTGGCACGTCATCTTACTAAGAAATAAGAAAGTGTACAGAGGATGGAGTTTTGAGCAAGAATTTAACAACTGTTATTTGGATGGCTGTGATTCCATAGGGAGATATAAAAAGAACATAGATGTACACTCACAAGGATAATTTGCATAGATCTAGAGGTCTGTTTTAAAGTGTTCTACAAATAATCTCAGTGTAAGTTTTTGACCTTTGTTTCCTGGCCTTTAGACTTTTGTTAGCACATTGCACATATCACATCTATCCAAGTAACACACACTTATTCACAGCTTCAACAAAAAACTCAGTTTTTCCTGAAAGAGCTCCCACCGTACAATGCTTATTTTTGCCTGGCCTGTAGAATGATTTCAGGCCCTACTAAAAAGAACTTTCTTCCCTGACCCCTGCCAACAGTCCTCTCACCTGCCACGCTACTCCGTTTCTTGGAATACAGAGCTATGTACAGATAATGATTTCCTTCCTGCTCTCCCCAAAACATGTCGGTTTACCAATACAAGTTGACCCTTGAAACAGTAACAGCTACATTCACTCTTTCTTTGAAATATTAACCAATCAGATATATTTGAGCCATGAAGTTTGCCTTTACTACAAATGGAAAAGGTACGGGGAATAATTTTGAAATTATATCGCATTAATAGCCTTCTTAGTATTCTGAATGAGGCTATCGGTGTGAAAACACATTTCTGTCAAGCCTAAGTTTTTAATATTTAAGAATTTACTACAAATATATTAAGTCTTAAAACTCAGTAAAGCCTGATCTTATTACATTCAGATAGTTCTCATGTAGTTCAGTTCTAGTAATGAACTTCTCACCTGAAATTGCATTCAAGCCATTATTTCTCAGAGAAGAGGTAGATGTGCAAGATAGCTTTGGTCTCTTTGAATCGCTGTCTCGCTGCTGGCTATTCAGTCTTGAATATGCTCCCTGAGTTGTCTCCGACTCACCATAACACGCAGATGTAAAATGAGAGGAGGAAGATGTAGACTGAAACAACATTGAAACAAACAAACAAACATAACAATAACAAAGCACATGATTAGGGATACAGTATTTCACACGTGCTTTCTGTAGCCTAAGATACCTACCACTGTGTATATGAGACTCGCAAGACCAGAAAAGAATTAACTTTAAGATGCAAAGCCTTTTTATTTGAAACTATTCTAGGATTTATGCTCCTGTCTTTGATTAGTATTTGCAGGTTTAATCAAGACAGTCCTACCAACAACAGCTGGTTTCTGTTACAGTCAGCCTGATTTTTTTCTTTCTAGATGGATGTGGCTCACGGAAGAAAAAGATATTCCTGACTTAAGATGTTAAAAACATTCTACAAAATTCTGTAATTTTACAGGTCTCCACTATAAAAAAAGTAATAAGCACAAGTAAAACATAATTTTGTAGCTCAGAAGAGGCCGAAATTGATTAATTCCGTTATTTTATTTAACAGTTTGTTAACTAATCTAGCTCATCTTTTACCAACCTAAAATGTACTTAGCTAGGAGTTAGTTCTAGCTTCTAAGTAAGCAGTTTAGAACAAACACATTCTGCTTGAATGAAGCTGAAGTGCAACTCTAGTAGTTCAGAGTAAAGAGGGCGTACAAAACAAATTCTGCAACACAGCACAGCTAGTACTGAAGAAACAGAAAGGAAGATGTGTAAGCTTATTTCTGTTTTCTGAAATAAAAGACAAATAGTCAGACACAGCATCCAAGCTAAGTATAGAAATAGGTTAAGCTCCTATAAACTTATATTTTTAATCACTTGCTATTGGGTAAGCTGAAGTTTCAGAGACTGTTCTGCAATACTCATTTGCACTAGATTCATTTTTAGAGAAAAATGAATCTCAATAGGAAAAACATTCCATTTTGAAAAGCCTAGAGCACCAACTGAACTAGAGATGTAGGCCGCTTACAACCTGAGACTCAGTTTGTATTCCAACCACAGGTATAGTCATTCACCATGACTTCCCCCGAAAGTCAGCCTCTCCACAGTCTTTCACCCCTGCTAACTTCTCTGAAAGTGCCTTTACCATGTAAGTCACAGTAAGAAAACAAACACCTGTTTAAGATGTGAGTTCTCTAAAGACAAAGCCCCCAAATACTTCAGTTTTATAGTAAACAGAATTTACACCTGTTCAGTATTTTCACTGGCAGCTTTTTCCTAGCTCTCTGCTTTTCCCACCTTAATATTTCTACTGCAGTTGAAAATGTTTTATTTTCACTCTACAGTGCATAAACGCTTTGAAGAAGCAAACTACTTTTTAATGTTTGAGTTATTAAGGCACATTCTGGAGCCAAGTTAAGGCAAGTTGTTTAAGCCTGAGCCTTGGATCGCAGTCAGGTGAGAAATAGTTTAGCCTCCATTTTCTTTTACAGTTTTAAAATCATAAGGCTTTAAAGCATGGTAAGAGCACGAGCTACTCGTATTCAAAAATTCTAAGTTTTCTAAAGCAGATCTCCAAAACCTATGAAGTTAGTGCCAACTCAGAAAGCTGGTACCATCTTAAGAAAGGTCCCTTCGAAATACCTGATAGAACAAGCTGAATAACAAACAGCATTAATTTTGCCATGAATAGGACTACAACGTGCAGGTATAATCTCCCTCCTCCCTTTTTTTTTAAATGGAGATTGCAGAGCCATACACACCTCACATCTCAAATTTATTTCTTAACTATTTGTAAAACTAACCTAGCAACTATGCATAATTATTTTCATCCCTCCATTTTGACCTGATAATACCCTAGAAACATTAGCGGGAGCTCCTGCTGGCAGTTTTTCAGATTGAGAAGGCTAAAGCAAGACCCCATTTTCTTTAAAGAAGTGTTACGCATTAACAATTCTTACCAATCTGTTTCTGCTGCCCAAAAATCTTCCAGATCGTGGATGATCAAGTGTCCCTGAGTAGCGAGTTGGAGAGGACGTTGCAAGCTTCCAAGGAGTTTCATGGGCCTCTCTTTCTCCAATTCCCCAGTCTCTACTGGAACTATTCAATACACTCGATTCCTAAAGAACAACATGCTTATCATACACATCTTGTAACTCAAAATGAACTAAAGATATTATCTGAAAATTGAACATTTGGGAAGATGGTGCTACTAACAAATTTGGAAACCTTTTATAAAAGGTGTTTCAGGGATATTCAAGAAAAAAAAAAAGAATCGCACTTAAAAAAGAACCACTGTCAAACGGAAGTTTTTTTTTTTTTATTCCTCGTTAGCCATTTTCACCTTTCCCCCTAAAACATTGTTGCTGTTGTTTCTTTATTAAATGGACAACACACTTGCTCTTCTGTTGCTATAAGAACAAGACAGTGAAGTAACACATAGCTGCAACTCCAGGTACAATGCTTTCACTTTAAAGCTGCACATCTGCCCTCTCATTTGATGGTAAAGAAGAAAAAGCTGACATGTAGGGTTTCTGGGGTATTATCTCTATTTAGATCCTCCAGCAAGTGGGCAGAAACAGGGACACTGACGTTCAAGTTTAAAATAAAACAGTAAAATAAAACACAGATATACAAAGAGTCACCATCTTCCTACATTAAAGCAGCTCAGTCAGTCACGCGTCTTGTCCTGCTCTTTAGTTTTAACAAAGTAAAATAAAGAAGGAAAAAAAAAAAAACAACCACCACCTAATAACAGGATTTATTTTAATAAGGAGCATGCTCTTCCTAGTAAAATAGATAGGACAACAAATGCAAACTATGCAATCAAGTTATTATTCCTAAAGAAAATACATTACTACTGCAAGTAACACAATATCTTCTGTCTCTTATTCTTAAAGCACTTCCTTCCTACAACTGCTTAAATTTCTTATTTCTCTGCAATCTATTCCAAAAATCCATCATTGTGCTATTAGCGTGGCAGGCTTGCAGATCAGTACTTATTCATTCTAACTGCATTTCATGCAAACAACAAACACGCATTTCCATTTTCAGTACAAAACTGAGACTTCTGTGTCTTAAGTTTCTTATAAATGACTAACAGCAAAGACTACCAATAAAACAGTAAACAGCACTGGGTACAAAACAACCACTGTGGGCTTAAGAAATAAGGTAAGTAGTTTTAGTCACTAGTTTCAGATACAGTACAAAGGTATTGAACCCACAGTTTGATATGCAAAACAAACTGCAGGACTGTTTTGCCAAACAGTCTTAAATAAACCCTGCTTGCTGCGTAACCTCCGTATAAAGCACTCAAATTCTTTTAAGTCTCATGGCTGCATGGCAGTGACTGTGACTGTTCTTTCTGTAGTTTCTTTTCCAAGATACTTGAGAGCTCCAGTCTTGACCTTGGGTTCACAGCCAACTTCCCGATAATAACACTGGGAACTGTTTAACATACAAATCTCTGTATCTTTAAGAGAACCTAAGAGATGAGGTTCTACGCTACATGCCTCACTGAGTGTCAATAAATAGGTGATCCCTAGGGAAATACATTGCATTTTAATTTGTTTCACAGAATAGTAATCGGAAATAATAAAAATAATAACAATAATAAATAATAGCAATAGCAACCATTCATTCCATTATAGCTAAGTAGAGTTTGTAAGTGATGACTTGTATGTCCTCTTGCTAGGACTTAATATCTACAGTAATATAAGTACCACTCTTCCCTAAAGCTGTACTATTAGATAGAATCCAAAAAGCTAAAGAACTATTAACGCTCATCATTCTCACATACACAATGAAACCTGACAATAAACCATCAAACAGTAAATTTTCTAATATTTCAAAGTCTCAGGAGGACTCATTAAGTTTCTAAACTTAATGTATGGATAGTTTGGATGTGTGTATACGGATAACTTGCTTGTGTAATCACCTCTGCAGAGTTAACTGATCCTGAAACACCTGTCTTCCCCTTTTTCTCCAGTTACTAGACTCTGAAGACCTCAGAATTTCAGCTTATTTTAAATGTCTATACCTGCAGATCTTGATCTGGCCACTTCTATGCTATACATGGAACTCACAGCTGACACATCTAAACTGATCAGAACTGGACTGCCACAGAGTTAGGATCTTAATTCAGAGGCAGTACAGTCACACTGGTACAGCACCGAAAGCCCGTTCACGAAACTGCACCATCTACTCTTCTGACACTAGAACACAGCTCTCACCAGCTGCGGCACCTCTGCATTGCATTCATTTCTTTGAAATGTCTCAGGGCACTGTAAGGGCCCAAACTGAAAAGAAAAAGCAACATATTAAGATATCAAAAAAGTGGCATTAAGAGAAGGCAGATGACCAGACACAACGTAAGGAAAGCTAAACCCAATTGCTATATCTGAAAATACCACCAATCTCAAGTTTGCTTTCTTCCTTCAGTTTAAAACTATTAACATCCCATGTCAGAACTTAACAATAAAGCACTACACAAGGTATTCTATTTTTGGTATATTTTTTTTCCAGGAGCAGAAAAATGTGATCAGAAAAAAACATTCAAAACAATTTAATAAACTACATTGACTCTATCCCGCCATTAAAAAAATAAAACTTCTTCATTTCTCAAAGAGATGGCTAACAGTGCTTCATCATAAACCACAGGAATCCTTTCTGGTAACATTACAATGTTCTGATTTTTGTACTCTAAATCACCTAGAAGCAATGGTATGCCACATACACTGAATTAGTTTACAGCTAACCTGATTGTTATGCCTCCTCAGATGAGGAGTAACTAAAAAACTTAATGGAGGGGGTGAGAGGGTTGTTCTTTCTGTGGCTTTTAGCTATGCCACATTTAATGAGCTTACTACCCAGACTGATCTCAAATGTATATGATTAAATATATGTGTATTCATACACAATTCATCTCACATATATGAATATACAACACAATATGACTGAACTTCCAAGAGGGGGAAAAGGAGGAGTGGGAAAAAAAATTCAAAACACCCAATACAAACCTATTTTTTAGCCCTAACCAAAACCAAATACTCTGAGTTAGACTCTCCTGTTTCCAGAAGTTTTGAGGCAAGCTATAATCAAGAACGTTCTCTACTCCAGAGATGACTTTATATTAAGCCGCTAAATAGATGAGTTCTCTTTTGCTTTCTATACCCAAAGCACTACTGATATTTATGCATTTTTCTTCTAAATGAAGTATCTTTTACATACTCCGGAACTGAAGCAGATCTTAGTATTTTATTTAAGGCAGGTTTCTGTATGGGTTAACAAAGTGAAAAGATTTGCCTATTCTGCTCCTATTTGACTACTTAATCTTGAATCAGACTAGTTACCTTTTTTTGCCCCAGTCACTTGGGATCTTAACTTGCAAGTAATACTGGAATTTGCTCCTACCAGATCTGCAAGCAGGAACGGTTAATCAAGTTTCCCCACGACCCCCGCCAGCCTTTTTTTTTTTTTTTTAAAGCCACTAAGCACTACCCTTTTCTAGAGTGGAAAGAAGGGAGACAATATAACCTTCTACGCTATTATTTTTCCTATGTTCAAATTGGGAAATGTTAAACAGATCATTCCTCAGATTAGGAAGTACCTGTGCAGCAGGAATTTTTTTTAATACACAGTGCAGTGAAGAGGCTGCAATTCATGTAATGAACAAAATGCTGTAAAGCACATACCCTCCCAGTTTCGTAAAAGGGGAAACATAGTTTGGTATCATATCTATGATTTCCTAGCAGCAGTTCAGCTCAAGACCCAATCTTTTGACCAGCAGCTTTCAGTGTGATATGTAGACTGTGTGGGTCCATGCATGCCTAAGAAAAAGCAAGACCATTGTTTTTGCTGTGCAGACGGACAACGAAAAATATGTAGGAGTCCAAAAGCAAAGACGACTTAAAACTACCCTTCAGTACTCTGTAGCCTATATACTGACAAACATATGCACGCGAGATACAGCAAAACAAGTATAACACTTGGCTGCACACACGCTGCACTAAAAATAGTTAGATGATCTAATACTTGTAGAACTGTTTCGGGGAAAGGGATTATATAATACAATGTCTGCTATAGCTTGTTAGCAGGGACTCAGTTTTTCACAATTTAATCAAAAATATGAACATGTAGTCACAGAATCAAGATCAGAGGCTGAAATAGGCTTAAAATTCCGTGCCCAAGAATTTGAGGGGAGAGTTGCAGACAGCAGAAAGAAAACCAAAAACAAACCAAAAACAAAAAAAATCGAGCCAAATAACCCTCTTTCATTTTTAAGTCCCCCAAAATCATTTTTGAAGTAGTTTAATCCCTACTACCGTAATACTCTCTCAAAGTGAAAGAGTCTGCAGAGTGTCACTTCTTACTCTTGGGTACAGCTTCCCCTCCCCCACAAAAGCAATTCGATTACAATGTAAAAGGCTGAGATGTGATACAGCAAAACTCCTCACCTCACTGCTGTCTATTGCAGGCAAAGTCCAGCTGTATTAACATACTAACAGTATAACATAAGCCTGGAAGTGCTCGTTTTTACCTTTGCAAAATTCAAAGAAAGTAGGTGCTCATGGCAGTACAGTCAACTCTCAGGCCTGCATGTGTTCCTTACGCTTTCTTGCGTCACTATCCACACATCAACTACGATGCTCTATACATATCCAAATTCACCCCAAACTCTCATCTCCCTTCACCGGAAAACCCTGCAGTGACTATCACCATAACAATGAATCAGTAGCATCCGGACACCCTTTATTCAACCAGTAGCTGACTTTTAAAACAGAATACTTTTTAAAACACAAACAGAAATGCATAAAGATAGCACATCAAAAACTGTAGTTCATACTGCAGAACATGGTCATTGGCCCGACCATCAAATCTTTAACTTTTCAAATTAATCTTTTTTTGTTCATAAATGCAGGGCACTGAGTGAGACTTTTCCTTACATTTCCCTTTTTTCTGGTCTGTTTTTTTTTGTTTTGTGACAAACAGTCATTAGATGAATGGGTGGACAGCTTGAGTCAATTCATACTTCATAGAAAGACACAAAATACATTACCTGGTATCCAGACTCTAATCTCCGTGAAGACTCTCTTGCACTGTACGCACCAGCTAGACTGCTTCCAGTCAATGCTCTAGATCCTAGCGAAGTGCTAGAGGCCTGAACAGATATCCTTCGAGGAATTCTTGACGGTTTGGACTCCATTCTTCGTATCCTGTATAAGGACACAGTGATTACTACTTTTTTTAGAAGCAGGGACATACGTGCAAAACATGCACAAGTCATTCCGAATATACCGTAATTATGACTCACACCCATTTTTAAGCAGAGCTTTGGTCTTGTCATGCATCAGTATGATGGGAAAATAAGTTCTTCCCCTAGTTTTTGTACCTCTCCTTTACGTCTCCTCCTGCTCCATGTTAGGAAACTAGGAACAAGGCTCCTATTCCTATACTCTTTCAAGTCTCTGAGCCTGAAATGGTACAGAATTTAGAGTGGAACTCCTTTAAGGACTGTGCAGCACCAGCATTAACACAAAACAATCCAGAGACCTCAGATTTCCTGAATTCTTAAATAATCTTTCTACTACTCAGTTGCATCTCAGGCATGAGAAGCTGGACTAAGCACTTGCAGAAACAATACTCAGACTTATTCTTCAAGGTTAAAACTATGAAACCTCACTCTACTCTGAATAATTACAACTGCAGTCTACCTGTCTCAAAGAAATATTTCACTTCTCCAAAGTTAACTTCCACGAAAACTAATGTATATGCATCTATATACGCATTTACTTTTGTGTTGCTGAGTATCTATTTGCTCTCTTAGGATTTCTAGGCATTTCAAAACAAATGCTGGTCTTTTTTCCACAAGAAGTGATCCTGTGGTCATTCCCACACTTGAAAGAGTATTTTGACTCCAAAACCGCAGGATAGACAGCTAACTGGTTTGTTTGTTAACGTTCCCAGATTTATCCTCCTCAGGACAGTACAGACAGCATTGGACCACAAAAAGTAACTCTTAAATAAAAAGATTAAGAGAACTGCAGAATCGTCAGTGGCACAGTGCAGTGAGAGCAGCACAACAACAACTCCAGAAGAGATGGCCGAGAACTCCATCTGCGCATGGTGATCTGTACAAGTGGTACTATCTGTTTTATTTAACCACTTCTAATTCCAGCCTAATCTTTCGAGGGTAGAGATGAGAATAAGAATAAATCAAAAAAAATTATCAACAAAGTACAATTTTTCTCTCACATTCAGCAACATTTATCAGTGACACTGTCTTTGTGAAAAGCTGTAGCAATCCTGTAATGCACCTAATGACTGGTTGCAGTTACAACTTCAATTCTGATACTCAAGATTTGTAATCTTAGCTGAAAGCCATGCTGCATTATATTCTACTCAGCAAAGCGACCTTGTTCAGAAGTCCGTTGATCAGTTTCCTCAATGACAGTTTGTTCGTTTTTTTTTTTAAACTGTTGTTGTGGTGCATGATCAGTCACCAGCTTTACAATACAAGTAACATCATAAAGTAGCCCAAATGCTTAATTGCACAATTTTTTTTTAATTATTTGAGCATAGTAGGCTCATGCAAATGTTGAATTCAGTAGTTAAATATATTCTAAATGGATTTTCAGATGGTACAATAGAGCTCCTGAGTTGTACTGTGGAGCTGTACACTAGCTAGTAGACCTAGCTTCAGACCTTAGCAACCTATTCACTTACTTTTGACATAGATGATATTTGGATAAACAGGATCATCTCAATAGTCTTATAATTTTAGCAATCTGAACCTCTCACTTGCCCAATCCTAGATTAGGAATCTGAAATCATGCAGTGCTTAAATTTACCAGATTGTATTTAAATCCCCAAGTAAATACTGAGCAACGTACATAATTCTCACAAATGCACCAAGCAGTGTTCCAAAGTACAGAACAATGTCAGTCAAGGAAGGGGCGGGGGGGAGAAGGAATAAATAATGACAAATCTAATAATCAAGGCCACACCACTTTATAAGCCTTGTTTGTGCAATAATATACAATGAGCATATTTCTTCATAATATTTGTAACATTTTGAAAGACATTGTAATGATGGTTTCTTTAAACTTTACAGTCACTTGGCAAAATGTGTACTGCAAGTCTAGTACCTGTCTGAAGCTGCACTGGGTGTGAAAAAATAACTATTTGCAAACTGTGAAGTAAGATGGATCCTATGTCACAGTAATAGAGTCTAGGATGTATGTTGTACAGGACAACTGCAGGTCTTCATGAGATTTAACTCACAAAGCACAGTTTGTCTATGTTTTACCCTGACACAAAATATAGGAGACACACACAGAAAAAAGGATCCAACTCTGTACTACTAAGTACACAAACGCTGCTGCTCTTACTTGAGAGAGTGCACCAGCATTATCATTTTGGTTATGGATCACACTGCTTCTGAATCACTTTGTTTCAGATAGTTAATTCAATTGATTCTGCACCTAACTTAGGCAGGCAGGTAAACACCTAGGTGTAAAAAATGCAGAGATGCTAGAAGAAGGGAGGTAAGCTTCTACTGGCAGAAAGTAATGCCCAGATAAACAGGGAGAAAGAAACAGTAGCCTAAGAAGGGGAAATTTTAAGACTAAAACAGATATCTAATGCTAATAAAACTTACGTGCCATCTACAGAACAGACAAAATAAGACTCTTCTCAGACAGGAAAGGACAGGGTAGAAGACTTTGGACACCACAGCCAATTAATCTCTAGAAGCTGAAATTGAATCCCAAGATTAGCAAATTAATTCTGCAAGTGTACATAAAAAAGACACAAGGCTAATTTTCTCCTCTGGCGTTGACCCCAAGAGGACAATTTTATCAATCAGCTTAATCCTGTAAATTAGCACAAGCAGTTGTCTTCTGTGATTTCAAATCAAATAGATGTCAGGATGACACTATCTATAGAATACGCTTGTTCTCTAAATGAAAAAAAAAAATCCCACAGGAACTACATACAAAAATATGTTAAAATAACCTAAAAGCAACTGCAGATTAGAAAATGAAAAATGTATTATTTCAGTTAAAGCACACACATTATCACAGAATGGCTGAGGTTGGAAGG